AGTCATGAGATGGCCTCATCAATGACGTCCCTTTTTGAAGGAGCTGATGCAGCAGGAGATCATCATTCAGGTGAGAAGGGAACAAGAAGGCTGAGGGTTGTACTTGCACATCCTCTTAGTCCAAAAGCCTTCAGGGAAGTTCCGTCTAATCTTGAATCTGAAGTTACTGAACTTATCCATTCAGTACAAGCACTTCCGCACAGTTACAATTTTTTTCAGTGAGGAAGCTGCTATCCCTTGTTGCTTTATGGCGACTATCAATCTGCGGGATGCAGTTCCTACGTTTGGTGGTCAATCTGGGATTGTCCATCTGGCACCTGCAGTGCTTTACTTCGGCCTGTCATCTTCTCCAATGTTGTTCACCAAGGTCGTGGCAGAAGCACTAGATCCTCTGAGGTTGAGAGGGATTTCGGTGGTGCCATACTTAGACGACCTACTCGTGTTTGCAGAAACCAGGACACAGGTGCTGTTAGATCTTCAGACCACTCAGGCTCATCTGAGAAGCTTAGGATGGCTGTTAAACCTGGAAAAGTCCAACTTGATTCCAGCCCATAGAATAAGGTTCCTGGGATATATCATAGATTCCATTCAACAGAGGATACTCCTTTCGGAGGAGAAAATAGGATCCAGTTGGGCCTTAGGCAGGTTCAGTGCAACCTGTCGATGTCAGTCAGAGTGGCCATGTCCGTTTTGGGACTGCTTACTGCCACCATCCCAGCAATTCAGTGGGCCAGATTCCATTCCCGTCCCCTCCCAGGGGGGCATCCTGCATAAGTGGACATATCCAGATCCTCTGGACATGCCTATAAGGATCGCTCCAAAAGTGAAGAGGGCGCTTTGGTGGTGGCGAGATCCAACATATTTAGGGAAGGGCCTGCTATGGTAATTTCCAAAGTCCAAACATCTAACGACAGACACGAGTGCATGGGGGTGGGGAGCCCACTTCAGAGATCAGTCAGCACAGGGCCCGTGGTCCAAAGTGGAGGCCAGGAAGTCCTCAAACTGGAGGGGATTGAAAGCCATCCGGCTGGGTCTTCTTTCCTTTCAACAGTCAGCAAAAGAGCAGCACATTCAGGTCCTATCGGACAATATAACAGTGGTAGCTTACATTTCAAGACAAGGGGGCACAAGGAGCAGGGAACTCCTGGAGTTGGCACTAGAGGTCCTGTCTTGAGAAGAAAAGAATTTGGCCTCCCTCTCGGCCATTCACTTAAAGGGCTCGCAGAATCAGCTGGCGGATTTCTTGAGCAGAAGAAAAGTAGTAGAGTCCAAGTGGGGATTGAATCAGGATGTGTTCCAGCTGATCTCAGAAGCCTGGGGTGTTACTCAGGTCGACCTGTTTGGAGCGATTCAACCTAACAGCTTGGTTCTTGAAGAACTCCTAAGAAGAAAGGGGCTATCAGATAAGCTTATTGCCACCTTAGTCTCAAGCAGGAAAGTGACTAAAGCAATATATCTGAAAGTATGGAGAAAGTATAATTCCTGGTGTTCAGAGAAGGGTTTCCAGGTGAACAGAGTCATGTCAGTCCTGGAATTTCTCCATGAAGGAATGGAGAAGGGCCTAGCTGCAAGCACCCTTAAATCTCAATATCTGCATTCCGGGAGAAAAAGTTATCCCAGGAGGTGCTAACTATTAGATTTTTTTTAAAGCTTTGGCCAGGACCAGGCCAGCTTCAGTTAAAGTTTTTTTTTTTTTTCCAAAATGGGATTTGTCTTTAGTTTTACAGGGCCTCACAAAGAAACAGTTTGAGCCCCCTAGAGGAAGTGTCGGTGCAAAATTTAGTTCTAAAAACCATTTTTCTAATTGCCATTATGTCAGCTCGAAAGATTAGTGAGATCCAGGCGCTGTCGATTTCCGAACCTTTTTTAGTTATTTTTTCGGACCGAGTGGTCCTTAGAACGGATCCGGGCTTTCTTCCGAAAATCTCCTCATCCTTTCATCGTAAGCAGGAAATAGTATTGCCTACCTTCTGTACAGCTCCAGCTAATCCAGGGGAAGAGGCGATTCATACTTGAGAAGATGTCTGTTGAGATTTTTGGAAGTGTCCAAGGGGTTTAGAAAGTCGAACTTCTTATTCATACTCTTTATGGGAAACCGCAAAGAGGAGACAGTCTCCAAAAGTACTCTGGGCAGATGACTCAAACAGGCCATCAAAGAACCCTATGGGGCATTAGACAAAGTTAATCTGGAGGGGGTTGCAGCACACTCCACAAGATCGGTGGTGGCCTCTTGGGCTGAAAAGGCTGGTGCATCTCCAGGACAGATTTGCAAAGCGGCTACTTGATCCATTTTTTCCACATTTATACGCCATTATAGCCCAGTCTTTCGGCAGGAAGGGCCTGCAAGTGGTGGTCCCACTCTAGAGGTAAGTTACTCGGTTATCCTCTCCAGGTGTTGTCCTGAAAGGTGAGGGGAGAAATCCTTAGTTGGACTTACCGGTGACGGTATTTCTAGGAGCCTTTCAGGACAGCAGTCTCTAACCCTCCCTTTTTTTACTATGTCCGTAATTCTGTGGTTGGCATGGTATCCGTTTTTTCGCTTTCTGTTTTCCAGTTTGTCAGAGGTTACTCGGTTATAACTGAGGGCATGGTGGAAGAGGCTGTGTTTCCTGTGTTGAGGGTGGAGCTGCACTCCCTCCAGGTGCTGTCCTGAAAGGCTTCTAGAAATACCATCACTGGTAAGTCTAACTAAGGATTTTTTCCAAAAAAAAATCTTTCGTCTTTTTCTGTTTACATAATAAAAAAATAAAAACCCAGTGGTGATAAAATACCACCACAAGAAAGCTCTATTTGTGTGAAAAAACATGATATAAATTTAATTTGTGGACAGTGTTGTATGATTGTGCAGTTGCTTTAACTGGCAATAGCACAAATGCCCTGGTCATGAAGGTTGTAAAACCCTGCAGATATCAAGTGGTTATTGTGGAGTTACAATACAAAAGGAGGGTCAAGTATGATAGTATAATGTGACATAAAGGTCAGGTTGCACAGTGACCATGTCATAAAAGAAAAAAGTTGAATCTCATATAAAAATTCCCCTTTAGATATACAATGCACAGCTTATGAGTGTAAACAGTATCCATGAGCTGTCACACCTGTATACTGATCTATATCTCAATACAGTAGGTCATATCAAGCTTGAGTGCAAATAGATTTAAGAAAATGAGGGGGGGGGGGTGCCTAATGTACAATGCACAGCACCATCAAGGTATTCTGATATCTGCATAACTCCTTCCAAGAGCAAGTCCACTGCCTGTATCAGAGCTGGTGGCTCCTGGAAGCAGGGTGCTGTGATGATTTCAGGAAGCTGTGTACAGCACTCTGCCGGCCCCTCCCACCAGCTATGATCTGCCTGCATTGCATTGAGAAGCACAGGGACCCATTTATTACCCCACTAGGTCTGAAATAAAGTATTTAATGAAAACATGTTTTATTTAAAATGTCATTAACATGTTGATGAGGGTAGAAAGGGACCAGGGAAGGCAAAATGTTAGGCAGAAAATAAATGTCATCTTAAGTGTGTTGAACAGTTCTCCATTCACCGAGCCCTATGTCTGTGTACCTGCCTTCATAGGTGATACTGCTGCTATCACTTCTGCTGGGAAGAGGCTTTTGAAAGTTTGTCCAGTCATATTACATGGATTTTACATGGTTTATTTTTATTTATTTTATTTATTTATTATAGAACAGTTGTTACTGACTGAACTACCTGAATGAGGAGATTTGAGGTGTATAAACAATGATGTCTCAATATTAGCAATAATATAGTTTTTTTTTTTTTTTTTTTTTTTTTTTTTGTGAAGAGATCAAGACCTTTGCAAATTTCTACTTTTAATAGCAATGAAACAACGTTTTTTGTTTTTTTTAAGTGCAGATTTATCACTTTGATTCTGTATACCATTTCTTTTTATTGTAATAGTTTTTGGTTTGAGGGTCCGGCTCTAAATTAGAGCTGAGAATATGTACACAAACTGACTGCTCATTTACTGGGTTTACCAGGTTTTTTTTTTTACACGTTTTGCTGTTCAGTTTGATTTACTGTGATGTGTGGGCACTTCCCAAACTGGACACACAAAGGGGGGGATTTACTAAAACTGGAGCACTCAGAATCTGATGCCGCTGTGCATGTTAACCAATCAGCTTGTAACTGCAGCTTGTTCAGTTAAGCTTTAACAAAAAAACAAGCTGATTGGTTTCTATGCAGAGCTGCACCAGATTTTGCACTTTCCAGTTTTAGTAAATCCCCCCCCCCCCCCCCCAAAAGTATAGCAACATAAGATGACAAAGCTGGCTGTAGCTTTAACCAAGCATTTAGCAAGCTCAAGTAGACATTTACTAATCATTTAGTGTTTACAGAGCCCAGTGGTGTCCCATAGCTTGTTGAATTCTCCCTGAAGCCTAATAATGGTTTGTATAAAGCTGCAGGCAGAGCTTCCATTCCAGGCTAGAACTGAAGGATGTTTCCTGAGCCACAAAAAATCTGATCAAAGCTCAGTAAGTGCTTTGTAAATGCTGCACAATGTGAAGTGTTTACAAGCTTAGATTAACATATAGCTAAGAGAGTGACATAGGGTTTCTGCAATAAAAAAAATGTGAAGAGACGTGAGTTCTACATTTTGGAGGAGTGAGAAGGAATTATGAGTCATAAGCTCCATAGTATATACCCTTGGAAATTGAAGGAGAGGAGCTCCTTCTAAAAGCTTCAACTGTGCCAACAAATCTGGACTTGTTGCAATTATTAGTTTCCTCCACCATAGGCCATTATATTCTCCCAATAGCAGTTGCTGTCCTTGTTTTCTTCTCATCAATAAAGTGGAGGTGTCCGTGACATTATAGGTCTGGATGAATACTCTCCTGACTTGTCACAATATGACAACAATATATTTTTTATAAAAGCTCCACCTTTTTATCATGAAAAAGCCATCCATTACAAGAATCCTAAACAATGGCCATGGTAATATATTGTCTGAATTTTACTGATCGTTTTGCTATCTTTTTAGGCCGTGCCACCCTCCATGACAAAGCATCGCTGCGCATTGACCAGGCTCGCTCACAAGATCAGGGCTGGTACGAGTGCAAAGTGCTGATGCTGGAGCAGCAATACGACACATTTCACAACGGCAGCTGGGTTCATCTGACAGTGAACGGTGAGTATGGTGTATGGGCAATGCCAGAGGATGAAGAATGATCAGAACATATGATAAGGTGTGTTCTTGGTGCTCATTATATTCACATTGCCTCCTCTGCCTGGTATAGGCAATACCTGACCAGTGTCAGGACACGCTGCAACTCTTAGCTCTACAACTGAATTTAGTGTTTGCTTTATGAATATTTTAAGTTTGGGATGGAGAACCGTAGCTTGGTGGCATGTTGACCAGATACATCCATTTTGGATCAGCTCTCTGTTCCCACACTCTTCTTATAGAATCTGACTGCCTACAGGTGTGCTCCAAGGTAAGTCTCTATAAGAACGCTCTTCTAGGGGAACTTTCAGTAGTGTTCCAAGACCTGTTGTGGGCACAGAAAAAATATCACACTTTTCTTTCTTTCAGCATCCAAGTTATTGCCAAGTGTTCCAGCCTGTTTACTTATTGTACTGAATAGACGGAGGATGTATTTCTAAGACACAATTATAGTGATGTGTTGTGCACAGAATATTACTCTTCTGGTTCTGAATTGTTATAATTTGGGAGTATTTTTTCCTCAGAGGATTGATCCGGAAGGAGTTGGCCCTGTGTGGCAGATTTGACCCCAGTTACCCCAAAGGTGGTTATTTATTTTATTCTGAAGTTGAAGAGAGATGGACTTGGCAGATGAGCCTTTTATTCAGCCACCTTCCCTGTATGGAACCCCCATATAAAAGTTAAATCGGCTAGATTTAGGGTGAATATTTTGTACCTCAGGTGATACATTTGTGTCCCCTCACAGTTCTATCTTTTTCATGTATTTCTTCTATGTGATATACCATGCCATAATTACAGTAATTGCACATTTATGTTTTCTTCTGCCAAAATTCGCTCACTGTTCAGACATTCAGAACTTTTATCTTCAGCTTTTTAGGGGGTTTGGTTGGAGAATGTGTACTGAGCTTATTGTACAGATCTCCCTGCTGCCATCTGTGTGGGTATGCAGTCGGTGATCCCTCGCTGTCATATTGTATGTTTTGGATTCCTGGTTGTCATACTGTAAATTCCTGATCCCTGGCTGTCTTATAATGTAGATAAATAACCATATGGACCACGCATAAGTGAAAAATCAGCATGAATTGTATAACAAAATAAACAGAATTAAATAGATTCAGTCCCAATAAGGGGAAAAAATGGTGCAGAGTGCTGATATTCTACTGTCAATTTCTTAATTGTGAACTCCGTTTACAATACAACCTGTGCTCAGAATAGTTCCCCACATGGACTGACACTCGCCATCATCCAATGACCACCTATCTCTAGGAGGGTCATTTGTGCTTTGGGGACTATCCCAGTGAAACAGTGTTGCTAATGGTAACCACTTTTCCTCCAAGTGAGCTGTATCTGTTACCAACTTTCTCCTTTCCTTATCCACAGGATGTTTAAAATCGTGTCCGTTTTCTTGAATTTTTGAAAATATTATTATATAGCCCTGATCCCTGGTTGTCTTATTATATAGTCCTGATCCCTGGCTTTCTTTATTATATAGCCCTGATCCCTGGCTTTCTTTATTATATAGTCCTGATCCCTGGCTTTCTTTATTATATAGTCCTGATCCCTGGCTTTCTTTATTATATAGCCCTGATCCCTGGCTGTCTTATTATATAGCCCTGCCCTGATAGCCCCCTGGCTTTCTTTATTATATAGCCCTGATTCCTGGCTTTCTTTATTATATAGCCCTGATCCCTGGCTGTCTTATTATATAGCCCTGATCCCTGGCTTTCTTTATTATATAGCCCTGATCCCTGGCTTTCTTTATTATATAGCCCTGATCCCTGGCTTTTTTTATTATATAGCCCTGATCCCTGGCTTTCTTTATTATATAGCCCTGGTCCCTTGCAGTAATAGTGTATCTATGACCCCCCACTGTCAACATGTATATCTCTGATTCCTGGTTGCCCTATTGTCTTTGTATCCCTGATTGTCATATTGTCTCTGTGTGATTTATGCCTATCTTATGGTATCTCTGTTCATCATACTGTATATCTCTGATCCCTGATTGTCATATTGTATTTCTATGATTTATGCCTATCTTATGGTATATCTCTGTTCATCATACTGTATATCTCTGATTCCTGGTTGTCTAATTGTATATCTCTGATTGCTTGTAGTCTTATTCCCCCCCATTTCTATCTTTTAATAGCTCCTCCAACCTTCACTGAGACCCCTCCACAGTACCTGGAAGTGAAGGAAGGAAGTAGCATCACTCTAACTTGCACTGCTTTTGGGAATCCAAAGCCAACCGTCACATGGCTGCGAGAGGGCGAGTTCCTCGGGGGAACCCCAAAATATCAGGTGGGTAACAAGTCACAATCCCCCCCCCCCCCCCCTTACGGGTAACGTGATTTCATGCAGAATAGCCAGTATTTAGGTTTTAATTTGTGTAGAAGAAGGGCAAAACATGAATTTTCTTCATAGGCAGATATTTTAGTGATAGACCAGGATTGGAGTAGGTAAAAGTTTGGGGTTGCTGTGGGTCCTACGCCATATAGGATATAAGCAGTGAGTGTCATTGGTTGAAGTGTGGGTGTTGTTGACATGTGCTTGCTTTCTGCAGGTGAACGATGGCAGTCTGACCATTTCTTCGATTGGGCGTGAAGACCGGGGCTCATACACTTGCCGCGCTACCAGTATTCAGGGAGAAGCAGTTCACAGTACGCGGCTTCTAGTACAAGGTAACGGCGTCTCATCTGCTCCAGGCTGCCATGTCCCCGGGGTGTGCCCTCGCTGCTTGGCCTCCAGGTGACAACATGGCCTGTTTTGGGCAGCTGAGGTAATGTTTCTTCTGTCCCCAGGGTCGCCTTTCATTGTTTCCCCTCCTGAGAACATCACACGTTAACATTTCCCAGGATGCCCTGTTCACATGCCAGGCTGAAGCGTATCCAGGAAACCTCACCTATACCTGGTACTGGCAGGATGAGAATGTCTTCTTTAAAAAGTAAGTTGGCCTGATAACCTTTTTCCCTGTCAGATGATTGTCTGTGTGTAGGGATTTACCTGTCAGATTGAAGGTGTGTGTGTTGTTTTGTGTGTGTTTTTTTTTTGTGTCCATCCATCAATATGTGTGTAGGTGTGTGTTAATGGGTTTCTCCATTAGATTGTATCTATGTATTGGTTCCATTAGAATGTACTTGCTTCTGTAGGGATCTGTCTGTTAGATTGTATGGTGTAGTTCACATGGGCTTCAGCATGTATGGGAGTAGTGTGAACAGCAAACTTTAATGAAGCTTTCGCAGAAGTTTGGGCAAGCTTCAAGCAACCCTCTTGAAGCTTTTAAAACACCATTCAGCTCCTGATTTAACTAGAGATGAAGATGGGAGAGAGGGAAAAAATTATAGATTTATATTTTTCTTATAAATTTTCTCACTGGACGGTTAATCAACAGTTGTTGAGGTGTGAGTTGTGCGATGTAGAAAAGCTGAATGGTAGCCTCATCAGACATTGCAATTCTAACAAGCGTTGCATTTTCTCTCTTGTGGCAGTGACCTGAAGCTGAGGGTTTCGTATCCTCATCGATGGAACGCTCATCATATTCCGGGTCAAACCAGAGGATGCTGGGAAGTATACCTGTGTGCCTAGCAACAGCCTTGGACGCTCTCCATCAGCATCAGCATACCTCACCATCCAGTGTGAGTCTGGCTGGAGGATATCATATAGGGACAGGGGTTTTTTAAATCAACACACACAACCTTAAAGGGGAAGTCACTGTCCTCATCCGAGATCCTCTTTGGGTTCCTTCGGTTTCCAGATAGCTGCCAAAAATGTAATACATTAGTCATGTCTAGTTGGCAGAGCATGTAATAAGTTCAATATTAAAGTGTTTTGCCTCTTGTGTAATTGATCTTTCGTCTTAACAGATCCTGCACGAGTAGTCAACATGCCACCTGTCATCTATGTTCCGGTCGGTATTCATGGTCAAATCCGCTGCCCTGTGGACGCTGTGCCGCCTGTCACCCATGTGAAGTGGAATAAAGATGGCCGACCCCTGAAGATGGATAAGGTTGGTGATGGGTATTGTGGCAGAATCACTCATTCATTTTGTCATTCTCCACCACTTTGGTCAGGTGTTCTATGTGATCGAGACTGGTGGGTGATTTGGTGGTTGGTCAGCGAAGGGAAGTGGAGGTTCGGTCATCCAGAGAGTGGGTGGGAGAGGGAGCGCACTTTTTACCTTTGTGATTCAAAAGACTCAACCTATCTATTTCAGCCTGCCTTTACACACATATGAACTTTAATGGTATCTCAGCCTTGGTCCATAGGGTTCAATATTGAGTTGGCCCACCCTTTGCAGCTATAACAGCTTCATCTCTTCTGGGAAGGTTGTCCACAAGGTTTAGGAGTGTGTCTATGGGAAGGTTTGACCATTCTTCCAGAAGCACATTTGTGAGGACAGGCACTGATGTCGGACGAGAAGGCATGGATCGCAGTCTCTACTCTAATTCATCCCAAAGGTGTTTTATCTGGTTGAGGTCAGGACTCTGTGCAGGCCAGTCAAGTTTCTCCACCCCAAACTCGCTCATCCATGTCTTTTATGGACCTTGCTTTGTGCACTGGTGCCCAGTCATGTTGGAACAGGAAGGGGCTATCCCCAAACTATTCCCAAAGTTGGGAGCATGAAATTGTCCAAAATATCTCGGTGTGCTGACACCTTAAGAGTCCATCGGATTGCCAAACAGGGAAGTGTGATTGGTCACTCCAGAGAACATGTCTTTACTGCTCTAGAGGCCAGTGGCGATGTGCTTTACACCACTGTATCTGATGCTTTGCATTGCACTTGGTGATGTAAGGTTTGGATGCAGCTGCTCGGCCATGGAAACCCATTCCATGAAGCTCTCAATGCACTGTTGTTATGCTAATCTGAAGGTCACCCGAAGTTTGGAGGGCTTTAGCTATTGACTCTACAGACACTTAGCAACTTCTGCACACTGTGCGCTTCATCGTATGCTGACCCCACTCTGTCATTTTACGTGGCCTACCACTTCGTGGCTGAGCTGCTGTTTTTCCCAGTTGCTTCCACTTTGTTTTAATACCACTAAAAGTTGACCGTGGAATATTTAGTAGCAAGGACATTTCACATTTGGATTATTGCACAGGTGGCAACCTATCATGGTACCACGCTTGAATTTGCTGAGCTCCTGAGAGCGACCCATTCTTTAACAAATGTTTGTAGAAGCAGTCTGCATGCCTAGGTGCTTGATTTTATACACCTGTGTCCATGGAGGTGATTGAAATACCTGAATCCAATGATTTGGAGGGGGGTGCCCCAATACTTTTGGCAAAATGGTGTATGTGAATAATACGAACACCCTCAAAAATTAAACAATGCCCTACCCAGAAAAGATCAACTACTTTCACCCTTGAAAGTGATATAATCAGCAAAGAGTTCTTTTCATTTCCCCTCTACACCTCTTCTCCACCAAAGTTAAATATGTAATCTTAATTACCCCAAATGCACATCTTTCAACAACCAACATAAAGTGCAAAAAATAAATAAATAAAAATTACAGTACAATAAATTAAAATGAAATAAAATAAATAAATCAACTTCGTGTCCAAAAAGTGTCCTTCTATATACAACAAGTCCAAAAGACTTTTTCTTCACTTCAATCACTTCTCCTTGTGATATTTTATATGACGTGTCCAGGAAGTGACGAAACGCGTCGGGACACGTGACGTATGACGCAATCACGCTAGACCGGAAGTAGGTGTGCGGCCATCTTTGATTAGGGAAAATGCGATTTTCTCCAGGAAAGTGCCTGTCCATGTGCAAAACAAGCTGAAAGCTGGATTTTTTTATGTAAGTGGATGTAATAAAAGTGTTGTACCTTTTATTACTCAGTCTCTAACTGCCTATTTCACCTTATGAGGGATATGGAGACATACCAAAAGGACATGGGTATACGTGTAATGGAAGTATGAGAAAATTGGATGTGCAGCTATCTACTATTCCAGAAAGCGGATTATTACCTCCATAGGGTAATTGTTCATTTGCAGCACCAGTTTGGAGTGGTCACCTTTACACTGGTTGATTTGATTCACATTTTTTGAGTATTGGTTGCAGTGTGCTGAGTTCACTGTCACATTATATAGATGCACTTGGTATATGTTTCGAGATATATTTTTGGTGCACATTTAGAGCATATTTATAGATTATAGATACATTTTTATTTTTTTTTTTTCTTCACTGCTTAAACACTTTGTGTTGGAGTGTGCATGACACATAGTGCACAAATACATTTTTGTTATAAGATAATACACTATTTGCGATTTATATTTTTTTTTGAGGTTTGTTCCACTGGATTATCGTATTGGAAATTTCATATAAAATATCACAAGGAGAAGTGATTGAAGTGAAGAAAAAGTCTTTTGGACTTGTTGTATATAGAAGGGACACTTTTTGGACACTAAGTTGATTTATTTATTTTATTTCATTTTAATTTATTGTACTGTAATTTTTATTTATTTTTTGCACTTTATGTTGGTTGTTGAAAGATGTGCATTTGGGGTAATTAAGATTACATATTTAACTTTGGTGGAGAAGAGGTGTAGAGGGGAAATGAAAATGGTGTATGGGCACCCAGGTCCCATATGATGTATACTATCCCATGGCACACCTGGAAGAGCCAACCTCAATACTCATGATATTGCTGGTAGTATTCCTCACAGGGGCTCTGGGTGAAAATATCTCTGTTGCATAAGTTTGCACGTATAGAAGCTGCAAACTGTTCCAAGGTTTCTCTGTACAGCATAGTTCTGTCACAATCTAAGAGTTCCAACATTGGGACTTGCATAGCAATGAATAGTGAGTAGCTTACCAGGTGGTTATGCCATCCCCGTCAGCTGCATACATTGCAAATATATGTGATTGTCCTTTTCACATGAGGAGGGGGAAGACAGATGAACCTCCAGTATGCTATGTTTGTACTGTGACACTGCAATAAATACAAGGAGTTTTCACCTCTTTAAACTGCAGGTTGAATTTTACCACATTTTGTGTTGTTACCTGCAGGTAAGTGGCTCCTACTTTACTCTTTGCTATATTTAGCCCTAAGGTGCTCTCACAGATTAGTGTGCCAATTTTATTACATATGTAGGATCCTGCCGTAAGTTGAAGTGTCCCTATCAAAATATAATGTTTGCAACTGGGCTGTATTCAGCCTATTTATGTTATTTTGGGTTCTTTAGGTTTCTCCCAAGCCAAGGGCATTGTTTCTGTCTGCTGCTGTTAAGAGTTCTCCTGTAGAAAGTGTGAGGAGATACAGTGTATTGAGTTATGAATATTTATTTCACCCTGGTCAATCACTGAGCGATTCAATCCAGTAATGTGGGGTGTGGAAAAGGAAAACATCTGGAGGGATCTTCTGGAAGAATCCTTCCAGGCTTTGCCTGGTAAGGATATGAGTGTAGCGGGGTCCACTCCTAAGTTATTGCCTGGGGAGGGTGTAGCTCCAGAGAGGCTCAGTCATTGCTCCCTATGCCTCTTGGAGAAGGAAGCCAAAGTTAAGAGAGGGCTTTGTTTTCCTAGCTACCTGTCTGGGTCTAATGTCCTAAGCAGACCTGTGGCAAAGACTCAACAAACTGAAAGTTAGCTAGCTGTTTGGGTCTACTGAATCTACACTTTCTTGTGGCAGAGGCCCAAAGCTGACCTGTGGCAGAGATCAGAATGATACTAACCGATCTGGGCCTAAAGAACTCTTTGAAAAGTCTGTTTTGTGGAGGGATTTTTGCTGCTGTTTTGGGTATCGTATACCCTGTCACTCTTTCACCAATTTATAGCCAATAAAGCAAGGAATACAAAAGTCTGTCAATTCTGAAGTATGTTTGTCAGCAAGTGTTTGGGTATACCCTTTAGGAAGGGTAGGAGAACCTGAAAAAAATCCAGAAGCTTTCAAGAGCAATGTTTCACAGTATTAAAAGTAGTTTCAATTAGCCCCTCCGGTATTGGAATACGGGGAGTAGTCCCTTGTCATTGGTTATAAAGCAACTGAGCAGCTGCCATTTTCTCTTTTTGCTTTGTGCACATCTTTGTGCAGAGTTGCGATGCCTAAGACTATTTATCTTGAAGAATGACATGTTTCTACTCCTTTTTTTTTTTTTTTTTTTCTCCTAATGTTTTTCAGCTGTCAGGTTGGAAAATCTTGGATGATGGATCTATTCACATCGAGGAGGCGACAGAGGAGTTGCTGGGCACTTACACCTGTGTGCCTTACAATGCACTGGGGACCATGGGCCAGTCCCCTCCTGCACGGCTGCTGCTGAAGGTAAGTAGAGTAGGTAGGTGATCTCACTTGTGTAAGTTTAGGGTGTAAAACAGATTTTTGTAGTTTGATTGGCAGTATCCACAGAGTTCTGATTTTTATGTTTGCATGCAGGTGTAGTCAAAGAGGTCACCTTCTGCCTAATCATTTAGCACATATATGGAGAGAGGGCCCCATTATGGGCCTGTTAGGGCCCTGATTGCAGATTGTATTTGTGAATTCTGGGTGGGCGGGAAATTTATAAAAAGCTTTGTGATTGTTGAGAGATAAAATGCAGCAGATTGTTTTCCATTAGAGAGATTCCTGGAATGGAGAGAAGCAGCAAATGTCTGCCTTCCTAATGTGTAATATCCCGGTCTCCTCACCATTATCCGAATCTTTGAGACATCAATTATGTATTAGTGCTTTCCAGTGGCTACACCCAGTCACTCCGTGTTTTTTTTTTTTTTTTTTACTTACAAATCTCCACTTAGAAATGAACTTGTCCAGTTAACCCCTCAGCCTGTTGAAGTCTTATGGTTATGGTTGTACTTTTTTTGCCGGTTTTCCTTATATAAACTCCTGTGTTTTTCTAATTTTATTTACGGTATCTTTCTGATGTATTGTCTCATATTCTGTTCACCGCATTTTTCATACTGCTAGGACCCGCCCTATTTCACGGTGCTGCCTGGCTGGGAGTATAGACAGGAGGCTGGAAGGGAGCTGCTGATTCCTTGTGCTGCTGCTGGAGACCCCTTCCCGACTATCACATGGAGAAAGGTATGTAAGCTAACAGACACTGCTCTGCAAGAGGTGGGTCTTTGGTAAGAGGAGCATTATTTTGGAGAAGGGTCTGGGCAGGTGGTGCATCTTTCTGGTGCAGGGTCTTGGCAGGAGGAGCATCCTTCTGGAGAAGGCTGTGAGCAGGCAGTTCATTGTTCTGCGGAGGGTTTTGGATAGGCAAAGCTGGACCAGGGTCTGGACAGGTGGAACATTGTTGTGGAGCAGAGACAGAGTAGATTGATCATTGCTTTTGAGTATGGTCTCGGTAGACAGAGCATTGTTCTGGAGCGGGATATGGGTAGATGGAGCATTGTTGTGGAGAGGCATCAGAGTAGGCAGAGAATTATTCTGTGAAGCCGTCTGGATATGTGAAGTTCTGTTCTTGAAAGGAGTATTGTTCTTTGGCATGGTCTGGGAAGATATTATTGGGCTATCATTTTGGAAGCAAATTACATATGCATGTGAAGGAGGAGTAGTAGTTGTGTGGCAGATGGGGTGGAACATAAGTTCAGATGTGACAGTGAAAGATGGCTACCCATATTTAGGACATACACAAGCTTGTTTATTAGCTAGCTGATTCGGTGCTGACTTCAGATATAAAGGTCAAGGGCAGAATTTGAGGCCATCAGATTTCACGCAGATCTTTGCTGAGCTATGTGCATCTTCAGTGATAACGTCATTTCAGACAATTCTTCACTTCTTGTTTCTGGAGTTAATAGGACTGTAAAGCGCAGATAGAAGTGTGTTAACGAAATCCTTCTACATTGTTGCTATCATTTTATGTATCTGCTTTCCCCATTCCTCTGCATTTACCAGCACACTGTGAGCCACACCTCTTCTGCGTTCCTTCCCCTGAGATAAGTAGTGGGAATTCCATAAACTGGAACGGTGACAGAGCTGCCTTATATGCAGCATTGTGTGACCCAGATATCATTAGAAGATGCATAACAAACCACTCACCCTCCATTGTATAGCCACAAGATGTTTACTGTGCTCCTCTCCTGATGGAATTCACATTCCTTACAGGGTGGCGCTCCTCATTTAATGCTCGGTAGGGTGAAGGGGGTCTTGCAGTCCAGGTTCTGTTTTTCTTCAGAGTTTGTACATTGCTCTTTTAAGTTCATTCTTCTTGGATAATTGTCCACAAATGAAGGGGAAGACTGCTTTTTTTTTTTTTTTTTTTAATGTTGCGAAGCACTTTTGGCTCCTCCTGTGATTTTCATTCACACAGAAGTCCACACTGAGTTGTAAAAATGATAAATTCATATTTATATGTTCTAGTAGTTCAGTGCAAATCAGTTTTCTAGAAAGTCTCAGGATAGACCTAATAGGAAGGCAAGGCATGCTGGTCTTTGTTATTGTAATTAGTATTGGATTTGAAATATGCCTTTTTATCTGGAAGTTGTGCTATACACTGGTCTTAGAATTGTGCTGTACACTGTGTCTTGAGATGGTGCTGTGGTTTGCATCCCAGGGTTGTGCTGTACTCTGTGTTCAGTAGTTGCGCTATACTATGTCCCTGGGTTGTGGCAAACCCTGTGTCGCTGGTAGGTTTACAATATACTGTGTGTCTGAGGATTGCAACATACATCATGACTTGGGGCTGTAGTATCCTCTGTGTTCCATATTGTGGTTTCAATTTGTCTGTTCTGTAGGTGGGAAGACCTTCATCCAGTAAGCACAGCGTGCTGCCTAGTGGCTCCCTGCAGTTTCGGTCACTCAGCAAGGAAGATCATGGAGAATGGGAATGTGTTGCTAGCAATGTTGTGACGAGTATCACTGCCAGTGCACACCTCACTGTTATTGGTAAGTCAAGATAAACTAGTGGCGTGCACATTGATTTATATGAGAAGAAGAATAAGAGATTCTTATTATATAGCTGCTGGGTTCTGTTCACAGAACATGGCTTCACTTCAACAAATTGTTGTGGAAATCAGAGCCACTGTAGATATTAAAATGTACCAGGTGATAGGTGAGGTGTCATGTGACCACCAAATGTCACCATACACGAGTGAGACGTCAGATGTCACCAGACAACTTTGGGATGTCACCAAACATGAGCAGGACCACAGATGTCACCTAATGTGGGCAAAATATTAGAGCTCTTTAGAAATGAGTAGGGTGCCGATAGAAACAACTAAGTTACAAGACACAAATGGGAAATCAAACAACACCATGCACAGGTGGTATGGAACCAGACCTTGGTGAGGGGTAGGACATCAGATGTCCCCAGACACAGGTGGGAATTTAGATGTCACTAGACACAGGTGGCATGTCACAGGTCACCAAAAGCAAGTCGGGTGTCAACAACATTATAGTGTGTTGTCACCAAACCCAGGTGGAGGATGTCAAATGTCATCAGACACAGATCAAATATCAAATGTCAGCAGACACAGGTGAGATGTCATTAGATGTAGACACGTTTTTACATGTCTCCAGACGTGGGTAGGGTGTCACCAGAAATGAAATGGGTAAGATGTCACAAGGCACAAGTGGGTTATGAGAGGTCATCAGGCATGGGTAGTATAGCAGATGTTATGAGGCATGGGTAGTATAGCAGATGTTATGAGGCATGGGTAGTATAGCAGATGTTAGGAGGCATGGGTAGTATAGCAGATGTTATGAGGCATGGATAGTAGAGCAGATGTTATGAGGCATGGGTAGTAGAGCAGATGTTATGAGGCATGGGTAGTAGAGCAGATGTTATGAGGCATGGGTAGTATAGAAGATGTTATGAGGCATGGGTAGTAGAGCAGATGTTAGAGCATGGGTAGTATAGTAGATGTTATGAGGCATGGGTAGTATAGAAGATGTTATGAGGCATGGGTAGTAGAGCAGATGTTATGAGGCATGGGTAGTATAGTAGATGTTATGAGGATGGGTAGTATAGTAGATGTTATGAGGCATGGGTAGTATAGAAGATGTTATGAGGCATGGGTAGTATAGAAGATGTTATGAGGCATGGGTTATAGAAGATGTTATGAGGCATGGGTAGTAGAGCAGATGTTATGAGGCATGGGTAGTATAGCAGATGTTATGAGGCATGGGTAGTATAGAAGATGTTATGAGGCATGGGTAGTATAGCAGATGTTATGAGAGGCATGGGTAGTATAGCAGATGTTATGAGGCATGGGTAGTATAGAAGATGTTATGAGGCATGGGTAGTGTAGCAGATGTTATGAGGCATGGGTAGTGTAGCAGATGTCATGAGGCATGGGTAGTATAGCAGATGTTATGAGGCATGGGTAGTATAGCAGATGTTATGAGGCATGGGTAGTATAGAAGATGTTATGAGGTATGGGTAGTGTAGTAGATGTTATGAGGCATGGGTAGTGTAGCAGATGTCATGAGGCATGGGTAGTGTAGAAGATGTTATGAGGCATGGGTAGTAAATCTGATGTTGCCAAACACAGGATATCAGATGTCATCAGAAACCGGTGGAATGTCACAGGTAACAAGACATGGGTTGAATCCCATCATATAGTTATGAGATGTCAGATGTCTGCAAACACAAATGTGATGTCACCAGACAAAGGTGGGATTACACCAGATGTAGGTGAAATTTTAGGTGTCTCCAAACATAGGTAGGGTGCAACCAGAAACAAAATATGAGATGTTACCAGGCACAGGTGGTGTATCTAATATCGCAAGGTACAGGTGGACTGTAGGATGTTGCAAAACACAGGCGAGAAGTTTGATGTTCCCAGACGTGAGTGAGATGTCTCTAGACACAGGTGGCATCTCAGATGTTGTCAGGAATGAGCTTGAGGTCAGAAATTATGAGACAGAAGTGGAATGTCAAATTTTACTAGGCACAGGTGGCATGTCACCATATGTGGACAAGATGTAAGATGCCTCTGCACATGTGAGAAATACCACCCTAAACAGGCAAGCTATCAGATGTCACCAGGTGCAAGTAAGTTATCAGATGTAACTAGGCACAGGTAGGATATCAGATGTCAGTAGGCACAGATAGGATATCGGATGTCACTACAGGTGGCATATCAGATGTTGCCATACACAGGGAAGACGTCAGATGTCATCAAGCATAGATAGGATGTCAGATGGCAACAGACCATAATGGAATGTCATTGGACGAACAGGTGGGATAGCATACATTACCAGACATGATTGCATTGTCACGTCACCAAGCATGTGTAAAGCTGGACAGACCCTGATAGATTTTTTTTAAATTTAATTCAGCCTGTAGGCTAAACAAATTAAATCTAAAACCAGCCATACATGAATTGAAATTCAGCCGGGTTCAGCGGGGACCAGCCAAAATTCGATCCATGTATGGGCAGACTGATTGTACCCAAGTTGATCCATCAGTCGACTTGGGTACAACCAGTGTGGTGGAATTTATACATACGATTACTGCTGGTGGCTATAGCCACTACTAGTAATCCTCGGGTTCTGCTAGCCAGGATGGCTCCCCGTGCCCCCTGTCAGGGCAGGAGCTGAGGAACGGACAGGCAGGCCTAACAATGTAACGCACTGGCTGACGACAACCACCACCCACAGACCGAAGTCCCTCAGGGCGCGGAGTCTAAGTCCCAGGCTGCCCTTCACCAGGGCCCCTGATGGTGGGGATGGACTTGACGCAGCCAGGAACCAGGTCGCGGCCCCCGAGACACCTCAGCTGCGGTAATGGCCGCCGCCAATGGCGTGTAGCTGGTGGAAGAGACAAAAGAGTAGTCAGACAAGCCGGGGTCAACAACAGCAGGACAGAACAGTACAGGACAGCAGACGAGAATCACAGGTCACAAGCCGGGTTCAGCAACAGAGGGTCAGATCAAAGGAGAATACAAAGAATAGTCAAGACAAGCCGAATCAGATACCAGGAGAGTCACGAGAGTCAGAACAGAGTAACAGCAACACAAAGACACAAGACACAAGTGCAAAGAGCATGTGCGGGCCACAGGCTTATATGTCATCAGCCACACCCCTCTGGAGGATGGACCACAGAAACCTGAAGGCATAAAAGGGCTCCCATCATGCACAGCAGAATCCAAGATGGACACCAGCACATGAAGTAACATAACCACAGGGAAAAGGTAGGACCTTGACACCCCCCACACGCAGTATTGATGGGGGAATCTAGCAATATTCTTTCCTTCCACAGCTGAGGCTGCCAGGTGTCATAATGCCTGAATAGTGTCTTCATCTGAATGAATGCAGGTGCTCTTCTGCCAACAATTTTTCGCCTGACTTCTTGGATTGAAAATTGTTGGGTATAGTGGTTGAGTTTGGTTAGTTCATTAGTCAGCTTTACATGCCAGATATCACCAGACACGGGTAAAATCACAAATAGACATGGGTGAAATATCCTGTTAACGTCAGACATCTCACTTGGATCTGATATCAGACACAGGTGAGGTGTTGGATGGTACAAGATCCAAGGCTAATGCTACCAGAAAGGACTGGGATATGTCAGAAGTCACCAGGCATGGATGGTTTTATTGGATTGCCCTAGACATGACTGGAATATACCACATTGGTTAGAGATCTGATGTCATTTTGGCATTTTAAGGATTTAAGAAAATATGTGGGATGGATCTCACTACACACAGATATGATGTCAGATGTCACCATACAGAAGTGAGATGTACATGTCTCCAGACACCGATGGGATGTTAGATCTTAACTGCCAGGTGGCTCCTGAAAACTGTCCCAGACCTAGCCTATCTTATCCTGGGGTGCAGTAAATAAGTCAGAGCAGAATGTTAACACTGTGTGTGAATCGCTAATAGACTGTCACATAGTGTGATAGATGTGGGGAGCCAGTGTTCTCTATTCACTTGGAGCACTTCTATATCACAAGTCATGACACAGAAGATATGGCTGACAGGTAGTGTAAAGGTGGTGCAGGAGTGAACAGGGAATTCTAATATGCAGCAGTCTGTCATTAGATTGGGATGATTAAACAGAACTCCCCCCCCCCATAACAGATGTCTCTTTTTACATCAGGAGTCATCAATGTCCCCCTTTTACATTAAGGTTCCTATAAGAATCCACCTTACATCAGGGTCCACATCATAGTGCCCCCATCAGTTGTCCCCATCAGAGTGCACCCATACATTGTTTGCATCAAAGTTCCCCCTTACATCAGCTGTCTTCATCCATGCCCCCTCACATTTGTTGTCCCCATCAAACTGCTTCCTACATAAACTGTCCACACCAGTGTGTCCCCTTACATCAGCTTCCCCCTCAAGGTGCCCTTTTACATCAAATGTCCCTATCAGAGCTTCCCCTACAACAGTTGCCCCCATCAGAGTGCCCCCTTACATCAGCTACCTGCATCAGAGTGCCACATCGGCTACCGGCACCCAAGTGCCACCTTGGATCGGCTACCGGAACCCAAGTGTCCCTTTGCATCAACCAGACTGGCTCATGGATCAGTGGATGTACTTTGAGATCTAGGGAGGGGTGCAACTAAAGTGCGTGTGTGTGTGGTGGAGGGGAGGGGGGCCTTACCCAGCACTTCCCTAGATCTGCCTGACATCTTAGCCATGTATGGTGAAATCTGACTTCCCACCTGTATTTGTAGACATATGGCACACGCTCAGGGCCGGTGTTAGACTATTTTGCACCCTAAGCAAGACCAGGTACTTGACCCCCCCCCCCCCCCCACCAGCACCAATATTAAAGACAAAGTCGGTGTCATGGATCGACTGTATCTGTGGCTGGCAGTGGCAGGGTGACAGTTGCAGTGAGTGGAGGTTGATGAATCCACACTCTGACAGGCCCCAGGCTGGAATTCCCCAGGCAATGGGGGGAGATCAGCAGGCAGCCCATCCCACTGCCACACACAGAGAACACCTGAACAGAGCGATCCCACACAGTGACCGATCCAACACAACACACCACCATCAACACTGACACAATTCAGCAAGCACTTGAAGAGAAGGCTGTTGGTTAGTAATGGTGTCATCACTCACTGACACATTGCACATGTGATGGATGGCTGGCCGGGTCACACTCACACAGACATGAGATATAGTCAGACATTACCTTCCTCCTCAGGCGCAGCTCCGCCTCCACTGATGAATCGGAAGAGAAGGGCTGGAACTCCACAGTGGTCAGCAACCACCTTCCGGCTTGCAGTAAGGGACTGAGTCTGAGAGGAACACTGGAAGGAGCAGCAGCTCAGCTGCTAAACTTGCCCTAGACACCCGGCATCTTCCTCTGTACTTTCTTCTTCCCCTCTGCAGCCCCTTCTCTCAGCTAAAGGATCATTCATAATGTGGTGGCGTCCCACACCGAGAGTACCGGCCTGTGCTGTGCCCAGGTGCTCCTGGATGGCAGTGCGCCCTAGTTTGCCTAGTGGAAGCACTCGCCCTGCACATGCTAACAACTTTCTTGACATTTAGCATCCCACCTGTGTATGGTGACATCTGAAATCTCATGTCTACTGATCTGAGCACTTCCTGCTATGTCATATTGCTTTCCTGTCTGTAGGTACCAGCCCGCACGCCCCTTCCAATGTGCGAGTTGTGGTGTCCATGAACACGGCCAATGTGACCTGGGAGGCTGGGTACGACGGAGGATTTGAGCAGACATTCTCAGTTTGGTATGGAGCTCTGTGAGTCATCCCAGCATGCTTTGCAGCTTCTATCTCCACACTGTCTTTATGTGTCTGTCATGCTTTGTCGGGGATGTTAGCCTTGCATTCCTGCTGTGACATATAGAGAGCCACCTATATGTCTGTATGATATATGTGTGTTTGTATATACACCAGAGATGTATATATTATGCCGCACACATATAAAGGATGCCACTTCATGTTTGCACTATGATAATTTGTGATTATTAGTCATGTGTTTAAGATCTATGTATGATATTTGCATCTGGTGAGACACCATAGACTGAGACTGCATCTTTTCCTGCCTTGTTTTGTTGTACATTTTTTACCCTGAATAGAAAAACATGCAAATAATGGGAAGACTGTAACAGTGTGCAGGACAAGCAGAAAATGCATTTCCAGTGAAGAAGAATTGTATGTGTCTCCTCTCCACACACCCTGCATTGTTATTCCTCTCCACACATACATCACACACCCTGCATAAGGTTTCCTCCCTATACCTTGACCACACATCCCGCATCGTTCCTCTTTTCCACAAACTGACCACACACCCTGCATCACTTCTCTTCTCGACACCCTGACCACACACTCTACATTGCTCCTCCTCACGACACCCTGACCACACACTGCCTAACCACACTTTGCATCACCCCTTCTCTTCACACTTTAACCCCACACCCTGCATCACTTTTCCTCTCCACATCCCAACACACACCCTGCTTCGCTCCTTCTCTCTACATCCTGATCACACAATTTGAACAAACCCTACAATGCTCCTCCTCTCCACCCTTTGAGCACGTGGATTGAACACACTTACATGCATCACTCCTCCATCCATACCCTGACCACTTAGTCTGAAACACACCTTGCATCAGACTTTCTCTCCACATTCTGAATACAACTTGCTTTGCCTCTTCTCTTCACATGCTGGCTACAGCATCATTCCTCTTCCTCATACCCTGACCACATACCCTGCATCATTCCTCCTCTTCACACCCTGATCACGTACCCTGCATCATTCCTCCTCCTCCTCCGCATACCCTGACCGCATACCCTGCATCATTCCTCCTCCTCATACCCTGACCACGTACCCTGCATCATTCCTCCTCCTCATACCCTGACCACGTACGTTGCATCATTCCTCCTCTTCATGCCGTGACCACGTACCCTGCATCATTCCTCCTCTTCACGCCCTGATCACGTACCCTGCATCATCCTCCTCCTCCTCCCCTGACTACGTACCCTGCATCATTCCTCCTCCTCATACCCTGACCACGTACGTTGCATCATTCCTCCTCTGCACGCCCTGACCACGTACGTTGCATCATTCCTCCTCTTCACGCCCTGACCAGGTACCTTGCATCATTCCTCCTCTTCACACCCTGACTACGTACCTTGCATCATACCTCCTCTTCACGCCCTGACCACGTACCCTGCATCATTCCTCCTCTTCACGCCCTGACCATGTACCCTGCATCATTCCTGCTCTTCACACCCTGACCAACCTGTTGTTCCCCTTAGAAAGAGATAATACTGAATGTTGCGTTCAATTATAGTTGTAACAAATCTGGGCAATTCAAGCTGAGAATATGATGATTAAATACATAAGCAGAGATTATCTTCTTTGTGAAGCACAGAGATTTCAACTGCTGATGTTTCCTGCAGAAGTCAGACTGGGAATTTGTCTCCCAAAACCTCCATGATGGCTCTTGTGGTCAGGCTTTGCACATTAAAATAATTACATTTTTATGTTTCCTTAACGAGCATGAAAAATGCCTCTCAAACAGGCTCTTCCTGGTTCCAAACTGCAGGCACTAAGCAGTAATTCAGTCTGGAACTTTAGGCCAAAGTGACTTCCACTGTATGATCAAACGTTTGTGGACATCTGACCATCACACCTACAATATACAGGTTTGTTAAATATGCCTTTCCAAAACATGCATGGATACACAACTGTACAACACTTTGGGGCTATAACAGGTTCCACTGGAAAATGTGTCTGTGGGAATTTGACACATTTAGTAAAAGAGCATTTGTGAGGTCTAGTACTGATGTTGAATGAGAAGGTCTGGCACACAATAGGCATTTGAGTATATCACAAAGATTTTCAATAGGGTTGAGGTCAAGGCTCTGTGAAGGCAACTCAGGTTCCTCCACAGTAAGCTCATCAAACCATATCATTTTGGACCTGACTTTTGCGCACAGCCACGTCCTAAAACTGTCATCACATGATTGGAAGCACACAGTTGTTTAATATTTCTTTGTATGCTGCAACATTAACAAGAACCTGCATTGGAAACACCTGCACTCAATTACTATAGGAGGGGGTGTCACATCATTTTTGTCATATAGTATGTAAGATTATCAGGTGTCCACAAATCTTTGATCATATAGTGTATATTCAAACCCTGAATATGCTTGACCCTGCTTCCCTCCCTCCCTTTTGAGTCACTGCAGCCTTTCCATCTGTCTTTCTTTCATGTGATCTCCCTGAAAGGCTGTGGGATGTAAATGGTGCCTGTCACATGAAGGTACTGATCTGCTCTGTCTTTGTATTTACTTAACACAGTGTCCCAACTTGTAAGTCAGTGCCTCAAGGTGGTCATGTGAGCTTTGCATAGGAAGAACCAGGGGCAAGTTAAAAGCCTGGGCACAATGTCTAGCCATCTATCACTTGGCTGTCGTGGAGGAGTCCAAGTTGGCAGCTCCCAGAACACTGCAACAGCCCTGTACAGGCTCCCTAGAGGAATAGATTTTGAGCACTTTGCTGCTATCCTCAGGGTACTTGAGTCTAGTCATTTTTAATTGAAATGGAGATTGGTGTTTCCATGATCTGGGCACAGGCTTACTTTTTGAGGGAGGTAGAGCAGCCACCAAGTGCAATTGTTACAGGAAGTTAAGATCTGCCTATAACTTTAGCTTGCAATCTCCCTGGACCTACTGATTTACTTGACATTTTCCATAATAAGCAATATCTGTGTATCTGCTTGTTCTTTTTTCCATCATATGTTCAGTTTTAGTTGCCCTTGTGAATTGCTCACTTTAAAGGAAACTACATGGGCTGCTAGTTTCCTAGCTGCCATTGTGATCCTCTGGCTTCAGTACCTCTGAGTTACTGAACTGAAACAATTGTCCAAAGTTATGACTTTACACTGGTTTTGTTTTTTCTACATGCTTGATACTGGTCAGTGATTCAGTAAGTTCTAAGACAGAAACTGCCAGGTAACTAGCATTCCCAGATGGATGGCAGTTTTGACTGTCCCTTTTAGGCCTCTCAGTATAGGTGTCCTTTATTTTTTCAGATAGGAACATATAAATTGGCTTCCAGGGACACAGCCTCACTGGTGTCTGTCAAATGCACTAGGATGCCCAATTTTGCTAAATCCTCATCTTGTGAATGACTAAGTCTGAACCTATGAAAACGTAGCCAGTATGTTCCCTGGTTCTAGGGCCACCTACTTCAGCCCTGCCTTCATATGCTATAGTATAAGAAGGCTCATCCTATTACTAGATGGGGAGCCCTTCTCAGACACACATACAAGTGTGAACAACTTCTGCATTTAGCTGTAGTGGATTTTATAAAAACATAGATACAAAGTAAACTGGTGGGATTTTTCTGAATATTACAATGTTAGCACTTTACCAAAATGTATTTGTTGCTGCTTAGGCAATAGAGCATCTCACTGGTTGCTGCAGCTTATCAACTTGTCTAATAAGTAGTTGGCCTAATGAGCTCTAATGTTGACATTCACTTCTGAGTGAGAAAATTGTGGATGAACCAGGAGACTGCTGCTATTTCACATAGTAGACTCATTGATTGTAGAAAGTCATGGAACCAAGTTGGACACCTTAGAAAATGACAGAACATGGCATATGACAGGAACCCATCTCACATGGCGGATCATTGAGTGTCATTGGGACAAAGTGAGGAAAATACTACTGTACTTTAGATGACCTTTCTGAATTACTATATTTCCACCCATCCTTTGTACTGTTTGTTTAGGAGGTACATTAGCTGCTTTTCTAGGTTCCCTACTATTGGAGAAGAAAGACTTGGTAACTCTCACTGCAATGACTGGCTGAGTTGTGAAGAGACCATTGTTGAATTATTTAAACGGTTTATCTGATTCCCCCCCCCCCCCCCTTTCTTCAAAGATATATTCCTGTGTAATGGGTTCTTGCCAAATTAAATGTGATTGTTGTTACTATATTTCCATATTTTGGCTTTGTAACAGGATGAAGCGTGCTCAGTTTGGGCCTCATGACTGGGTCTCCATGCCTGTAGCCAGTGGAGCCTCATTTCTGCTTGTAGAATCTCTGGACTCAGAGACGGAATATCAGTTCAGCGTTCTTGCACAAAACAAATTGGGGACCAGCTCTTTCAGTGAGGTGGTCACGGTGCGGACTTTAGGTGAGGCACAGATAGGTATTTCTATAGACTGAATTCTAACATACAGCTGTAATAGGGTATCCTCTAATAATGTCATCATATTCCTGACAGCCTTCCTCTCACAACTCCGGAGCCTCTCCTGGTTTTGACCTCACCCCGCTGCCTAATAGCCAATCGGACCCAGCAAGGTGTACTGCTTTCCTGGCTCCCCCCAGCCAATCACAGCTTTCCACTCGATCGTTACATCATGGAGTTTCGCTTAGCAGAGAGATGGGAGATTCTCGATGACTCGATAGCTGGAACTGAGACCGAGATCTTGGCAAAAGAACTTTCCCAGGTAGGTGAAAGGTGTGTGGGAATTTGTTATAACCTTCTGCACTTGTGAGGACTTTTCATATTTCTTCATCTGACTATCATAACTTTTTGAAAACTATCTATATTGTAAAGGATCGGTCACTGTTTGTTGGATCCTGGGAAATTGAATCCCCTGATCATTCTTTCTATCTTTTTGGGACTCTTAATAGTGCAATCTCTGTTCCCAGCTCTGCAACCTTGCTGCAGGCATTACTAGGGGCTCCTAAAATCATTACTGAACCTATATGTTATGTTGTGGGGACATTAACAGGAGGAGTAGTGGTGATGTCCATGGTGAATGGGCACAAAATACAAGAAGTATGTCAGCATGATCTCACAATTCATAAGAATAACAACCAGACTGTACCCTGAGATGTCTCACATTATAAGTCCCTACCCTGAGAATTCCCACATTACAAATTTATTTTTTGTATTCATTTATTTCATATGGCATTGTATTTTATTTTTTAATGGTTTATCTAGATGGACTTGTGTCTTTTTTTTTCAACCAGACTATGTACCCTGAGATTTTCCACGTTACAGGAACCTACCCAGAGATTTCTCACATTATGGGTCCCTGTCCTGAGATTTCCCGCATTATGGGTGCCTACACTGAGGTTTCCCCACATTATGGGTTCTTGTTCTGAGATTTCCCACATTACATGTGCCTACACTGTGATTTCCCACATTATGGGTCCCTGTCCTGAGATTTCCCACCTTAGATTTGCCTACACTGTGATTTCCCACATTATGGGTCCCTGTCCTGAGATTTCCCTCATTACATTTGCCTACACTGTGATTTCCCATATTATGGGTCCCTGTCCTAAGATTTCCCACATTATGGGTGCCTACACTGGGGTTTCCCACATTATGGGTGCTTGTCCTGAGATTTCCCACATTACATGTGCCTACACTGTGATTACCCTGAGGATTCCGACATTGGGTTTCTCTGCATTGAAATTTTTTCCACATTATGGGTGCCTACCCTTAGATTATCTACATTTGTTTATAGGGTTATGACATGTCCCATATTGATAGTCCTTGTTCAGCAGTAGCATGTCATGCAACGTTTTGTTTTGTTTGTAGGAGACGTGGTACGAGTTCCGTGTTCTAGCTGTGATGCAGGATCTCATCAGTGAGCCCAGTAATATTGCAGGACTGTCCAGCACAGGTTGGTATTTGCAGATTCTTATATTACATTATATATTGTTATGGTTGCTGTGATGTGTGCCAGGATTGTGTCTGCACAGTGCCTGTTGGGTTTATACAAAGCTCAGCTGTGCCAGGTAATCTGTCTGCCAATCAGAGATTTTGCTTGCGTGCTTTACTGTTTGTCTTCTATTAGAACGCCTTCTGCTGGCTCCTCCCAGCCACATCACATTATGCATTGGAACCAAAGAACATTAAATATTAATCTACATCTGGAAATATGGATCTATAGATTTGAGCAGAATACATATGAATATTTATGTTAGTAGTTGAGCATCAGCCACTCTGGGACAGTACATAATGACTCACTGGTTGTTATAGTTTTCATTGATGTTACTATTTCTTTGAGAATTTCAACTTTTTCATTCTACAGATGTCTTCCCCTCTCCAGAACTTAGCGATGAAGGTTTTGCTCGCCCTGTTCTTGCCGGAATTGTCGCCACAATCTGTTTTTTGGCCGCAGCAGTTCTGTTCAGCACCCTAGCAGCATGTGTTGTCAACAGGCAGCGAAAACGCAAGTTGAAAAGGAAAAAAGGTGAGAGTGGAACTCACGGCGGATTTTTCTTCTCTTGGACATCTAACAAACGCAGAGCAGTAACATGTTTCATTTCTTTCCAACCACAAAACATCGGCCTGTCTCTTATTCAGTCTTAATCCTCTTACAACCTTTGCACATGACCTGATGAAACATAGTGACACTGCTCTAATACATAACTCATGTCTGTCTCCCAGGAACCTAACCCCTGGTCACTTTTATCGTATCACTCTTATTAAAGTGTAGCACCAAATAAAACTTTTTTTAGTATTAGTTGACGTGGGGAATGGCTAAAACTATTTTGTACTCATTTGCTCCATCTCTGGGCTAGTGTACCTGTTCCCACATCCCTTTTCCAGGATACAACTGTCATCTGCCCTATCCATCTGCCACAATACAGTGTACCTATACCCCCATCTCTTCTCCAGAATTCATATCTCCTAATCCTGCAGCACAGGACACAGTCTGAGTATTCATAGACCTGGGCTCGTTCCTTCAGGTTATAGGAAACCTTTTGCTAGTGTCCCAAGATGATGGACCTTTTCTCCTTTTATGGAGATATCACTCTTGGCTTAATTTTGTTTATTTTCGGATTCCTCAATCAACTCTTCACTGTTTTCTAATACCACAATAGAAGCAGTGCATCTGGATCAGTGCAACTTTGGTAAAACCTTGGGAGTCGTACCTGGACCCCATGCTGAGGCCTGTAATGATGCTTTTGGGTCCTGAATCCTTTGTACAATGCATAAATTCAGTCTCAGGGTATTTTACAGGTCCAGGACCATGGTCCATCCCCATGGAACCCAGACCCAGAAGACCCCTTCGGGGGTATGCACACAATGGACAGTATTACCTGGTATCTGACTGTTAGTCTTAAAAACGGTGCGATTGTAATGTATTAAGTTTACACTGCAAACTTTTCCCACTTTGTGTGGTAATCACAACACTGGTCACACACTTTACACTTTGCACATGCACCTAGAGCCCAGTAAAGTACTCAGGCACTTTCTTTGCTACAAAGACTTCGCTACAGGATGGTCTACACCCTGGTTGCTGCACACTCCTTCCAGATGCAATTTCTCTATATTCTGCACACTACGTGAGCACCCTACAGAAGAATACTCTCACCCATGGCTATGGTGAGCAAAAGGGAGCCATGGCAAAAACGCAAGCAATTATTCAATCTGCAGAAGGCCCACACAACCCTCAATGTCAGAGTGACAATGCTTCCCTTGCAGAGGAGCAGAACCATATTTTACCACAGTCCTCTACATCTGACTCTAGTTCCCTTTCAGGCACACAAGTGGCCTACCTGCCAAAGGCATGTTTTTCTGGAGCTATGCCACAATATTTTGGACAACAAACAGCTTTAACATAGAAATCTCTGTCCAGGGTTTCAGAATACCAAGCCCTTTCTCCAGATCCTCTAGCTCTTCCTGAATCAGAGCCTGATATGCCCAGTCTAGATGAAGTGGATATAGAAGGGAATGAAGAGGACCTAGGGGCAGAGTTAGAAGAGGGTGCAGAACATTTCTCGCTCCCAGACTCGTATACACCTGAAGTTGCAGCATAACACAATAAGCTGCTAATGTGGATATGTATTTGGCATTGTCAAGGCTTCAGCTTCAAAACCTAAGTTCAGCCCTTTCTTTTGGCATATGCCTTGGCACACACAGCCCACCAAGTCTTTCCCAAAGTTCTCTTTCAAAATGAAGGGGAATCCTCTCTCCTACAAGCAGATGGACTTATGTTACAATGTGCCTCTCTGGGTCCTAGATATGGGTTCAGTTGATGGTTTCAAAGGGGTACAAAATAGAGTTCAAATGTTTACCCCTTCACCACTTTCTTCTTTTTAAATTAACTAAAATCTGCCCAAGGACAGTCAGATTTGCACAATGCCCTGAACCATCTCTTGTCCCAGGCAGTAGTTGTGCTAGTATCCCCACAAGTCGGGTTCAAAGGATTCTAATCAAGGTTGTTCACGGAACTAAAGCCCATCAGGGTATTCATCCCATTCAGGATCTAAAATCCCTCAACAAATACCTTCAAATTCCCAAGTTTTGCATGGAATCTGCAAAGTCAGCTAATGTCTCTCTGAGACAATATGAATACCTGGCATCCATAGACATCCAGTCTATCTTCATATTCCCATTGATTCTACTTATCAGTAGTTTCTCTGCTTTGCAGTGGAACACAGTCATTTCCAGTTTGTTGCATTGCCTGGTGGCCAATCATCTGCTCGCAGAGTATTCACAAAGGTCCTAGTACCTTTTTCTTGTCTTTTTAAGAACTCACGGGTCATCAGGATGGCCTTCTCATGAAGAATTCATCTCCTTTCCAGCTATCCACAAATATCCACAAGACAATTCAGATGCTCCAGGCTAGGATCTCCAGCGCAGCCTTGAAAATAGGGAAGTCTTTCTTTTCTTAAAACTGGAAAGTGATATTAGCCAAACTCTTCATCAACATCACAGAGTAATAAGGATAGCCCTACAAAACTGGACCTCCCTTCTGCAAGGATACCCAACCAGGGTGCAATCAGACTGTAGGCTGTAGCCTACATCAACCTCCAAGGGGGGACCAGGAGTCTTGCAGCCCTTCAGGAAGCAAGCGACATAATGTCATGGATGGAGACTTGCTGTACAGTGATCTCTGCAGTCCACATCTCAGGAATGGACAACTGCAAAGCCGAGTACCTCAGCTGCCCTCACCTGGATCAAGGGTAATAGGCCCTTCACCCTGACATCTTCAGCCTGATATGTTAGACATAGCTGGCATCAGATCCCTTGATAATCCTCTGGTCTCTGTTCAGCTGAATCTTTGCCTTCCCTCCAGTTCAAATTCTACCTTGTCTGCACCACAAAAGCGAGCAAGAGAAGAAACTGGTGACCCTCATTACACCAGACTGGCTTGAACCTGGTACGCAGACATACTTGGGCTACTAGGAAAGAACCCCTGGCTTCTCTCAATCAGGCCAGACCTACTCAGGGCCCCCTGTTCATGGCCGCTCAGGTCTTAAAAGACAGGAGTCTCTAAGTCTGTTCCTACTTTGCTAAAAGTAAGAAGTCACTTCCAGAAAGATCTAATATCCCTGGAAATCCTTCTTTGCCTGGTGTGAAACAAGGCATTTCAGTCCGAGAAATTACACTGTGTCTTGCATTTAGGCCTTCCTACAATCAGGACTTAACCAAAACTTGGCTTTAAAGGATAAGTTCACCTTTTTAGTAAAAAAAAATAATAAATGCACATTTTTTTTGCAGGTAAAAAAATGTGCATTTATTATTTTTGTTTGCAGGTGCCTGTAAAACATTGCCATGCCAGTCTCCTGCAGCTCTGTCAGCATATCTACTTGTCCGTACAGAATATATACTAGCAATCGCATATACTGACAGGAAGAATAAATGAACTACCACGACGCTCCACAGCACTGTGGTAGTTCATGGAGGATTACAAGCCGACAGCCACCAAGGCTTTCTCATTCGGCACTTGTCTCTCATCCACAAAAGACTGAATGAGTGACGTGGCTGGGCGGAGCGGGGGATGTTCTGATCATAACATGTTACACCCTGAATACGGATGCAACATGTTACGAAAGGTGAAGCACTCTGAATAGACAGGTTTCTGCCTCGTCTATTCTTTTTTCACAACCTCTGGCTTCACTTTCCTTTGTCAAAACCTTTATTTAAGGTGTGTCTCCAACCAGGCTCCACTTGCAGAACCCTGTGGTTCATTGGAACCTAAACTTGGTTCCCTCTGCCCTGCAGAAAACACCCTTTGAACCCATCAGGGATATCCCCTCAGATGACCTCTCCTGCAGTGTGGCCTTTTTGGTTGCTATCATGTCTTATAAGACTTGTTTCTGTGTTGGTGGCTCTCTTGTAAGCACCCATTCCTCATTCTTCACAATGACAAGGTAGTTCCTAGTCCAAGACCATCTTTTCTTCTTAAGGTGGTTATCAGTCTTCTACCTCAATGAAGATACAGCCCTCCCATCCTTGCCTGGATTTAGTCAGAGCCATAAGAGTCCACCTCAAAACAACTGTTTCTGTCAGGAAGATGGATTCTCTTTGTCCTATCCTCCGGACCTCACAAGGCGCTTCCTGCTTCCAGGTCTACCATTGCTTGGCGGATAAGACAACTGATCACTAGCGCTTACACTCTCAGTCTTCTTCTGTGCTTTTACATGGCCAGGTTGGTGGGAGTTTCCTGGGCATTTCACCACCAGGCCTCTGTACCCTACTATTGTACTCTTATTTAGCCACTAGGTAGTGCAAACGCAATCGGGTTATCTCTACTTTTTTCCACCCCAATTTCAGTTTGCGATTTAATATATCAATTGTATCTAGTAATACATATATTGTTGTCAACAGGAATGTTCTGAGTGTAAGGAATGTGGTTACCTATCACTAGCCCTGACAATAACAATCTTTCATCCTACTGTCCCATACTACAAGGACATATATGGTCTCTTTTTAGTAGTTTGGTGCGAACTAGTGACTCCTTAAGACTGTTAATATACTGCAAGTCCACGGTTGATGGATCTCCCGAATGTATAGATGTGAAGTCTATCATATCTTTACATAATTGTTGTATGTAGAACAGTCTTTACATAATTGTTGTATGTAGAACATTCTTTATGGCCATACCTAATATATAGATCTTCCACATAGGGCCCCGTCACATATGTTGGTAATATCAGTCACCCTAGTGAGAAGTAAAATTAAAACAAAAAATATTAGAGTATCTTAGGGGTAGGGTGCAAGTGATGGCCTTATATGCTTGATCATAGTACCCCAATAGGAGACTCTCCCACGATCAGGAGTAATATCATTGAATTAAGCACTAGGGTACATAAGCGCCTATAACGTGGTCCTTACCTTAATATCTAATCGTAATTATGTGTATAGGGTCTTAGTTGTATTTTATAGATTTTATCTTATACCATATTACTATATTTCTATTATTATTATTTTTATTTTTATTTTTACTTTACTGTATTC